TTTTTTCTTTTCTTTGTTAACTCCTCTTGCTGTACCTTGTCTCAGGTAGTTTTGGGTTCTTTAGAATGGCACCACTATATGCTTGGATATCACCCAGCACAATGTGGCCTCTAGTCTCTACAACAACAATAATGGTAAGCAAATATGTTATGACTTCAAAGGATTTAATTTACTGTAAAATGAAAATATATTAACAAATCTGACAGAAAAATTCACATGCTGTTTTAAATCTACTATTGAACAGATCCTCTGTATCATTGGAACAGTATATCCAAATATTTGTATAATGAAGCACAGATGTAAAGAGAACAAGTTGGCACTGCTAATGTAACAATATGTTCATCACTATATTCTTATAAGTAAAACAAATGTAATATTTATAAAGTCATGGTATGTTTCCATTACGAACTCTAAATGGTGCTCTGTGTTTGAAATAGGTTTATGAGGCTACAATTTATTAAGTTTATAGATGCCTTGACAAGAACTGTGCATCATATTTTTATACATTATTTAATTTTGAATACATTTTATGTGAAAATCTAGGCCCTAACTGATCATGAACCCACCTTCCCTCTCTACTGCAGGAGCCCATGCAAGACCTTTAGATTGCTGTGGAAACTAGAAAGTTTGCATAGGGAAACCAGACAGCAGAGAAAAATCACTGTGAAATGCATTTCCATCCATAAGAGAAATTGCATATTTGAACGTTCCATAACGCAGGTAATCATGACTACTGTAACTTAAATGCTTCTCAGACATCATTTGGTCATATTTGGTATTGTTCTCCTGCAGACACTTACTACAACATGCAGGGTAAATGCAGCTAATAAGCAGAATTAGCTAAAACACTGTTTAATTTAGTTGTGCGCTAAAGACTAATTGCCTACTCAGCGAAGGGGAAGTGTAACATTTTTTTTAAGATGCTTACCCGAGGGCCCTGATCACCTTGATCTCCCTGCAAAGTGGAAAGATGAGATGATAGTTTTAACACAGCATCTGTGTGCTACCCAACTCTCTTACACAATTTCACATTATATTGAGAAAAAATAAACCACATCTTTTGTTAAAACCAGGAGGGGTTTCCATTATTTTGTATATGTTCACAGTACATTTACTTACCTTCTCCCCTTTTGGACCAGGAGGACCCTGAGAAAAAGAAAAAAAATTAATCAGTAAATTATTGGCATCAAAGAAGTTCAACAATCAGTTTTAGAGATACAACAAGCAGGTATAAATGATCCCAAACTCTTCCTCACATCATGATTTCTCCCAGGCTTTTGGTCCCTAAACTGCAGGTATTTTGGGGCCAGGTTTAGCAAAGGTTTAGCAGCAGTTACCATGAGGTTACTTTTGCAAGTAGTTCCATGAGGCACAAGATATTCAACTGGGCTATTCATAGAAATATAAACTATGGATGAAATCCTAGCCCTACTGAAGTCAATGCAAAACGTCCCAGGGGGGATTCATGGAAAAGCGCCTGGCACTGCAATGCATATAGTTGTATTAGTGGCGAAATGCATGTCAGCGCAAAGAAAATTGCAGTGGTACACATTTGAATTAACACACCTCAGAGGTGCTTTAGTTCAAAAGCACACCACCACCATTTTCTGCATGCTGACACGCATTTCGCCACTTATACAACTGCATGCGGCACAGCATAGTGTATGTCAGCTCATGTGTAGAGCAGACTCGATTGATTGAGTCTGCTCCAAAGCAGCAGATCTCTGGTCAGATGGCTGTCAGGAGGTGCATCAGACAGAAAGGTATGTGTATAAATGTCCAAGTGATGTAAAAGAAGGCTGGATTTTATCCTGTATCTGGTAATGATTTTTGTTCTAGGTCAATACTATTTCTTAGCATGCACGCTTAATAAAATCAGAATTTTAGAAAATAATACATGGAAAATAAGACTGCAATTGTGGAAGAGTACATTTTGATTTAGATCTCTGGCAACAGAGAATTCACATTCAGTCTTGTGGCATACTATCAAGATAGAGCTATTTATGTGATAGAGTTATTTAAGAGAATTTAGCCTGATATGATTTTTCAGAATGAGTACTTATTTTTAAAACACCTGAAAAACAAACTGTTTATGGTGGGAATGCAGGTTCTCTCCTTAGTCTCTTCTTACTGAACAAGTTCCTAGCTTGTTTGTTCTGCAGCACTTCAGAAACAATTTTCTAGACTACTACCTCTCAAGCTGTGCTTTGTGGATCAGTTTCTACCAGATTACATGGTGCTGACTCTGCTTCCAGCTTTTTCTATGGAGAGCCAAATGTTTCAGTGCAAATAAGTGTTTGGGCACCATTAAAAGCAGCTGGAAACAAAGAGGACTCACCCCCTTCCCCTGCTGCTAGATCTCATTGCCACAGTCAGAGAAAGAGAAGAAACAAGAGCCTATACCAGAGGCTGGTGTTACCAACAGTATAGTTAAAAATAACACAGAATGGTCCTAATGTCACTTTTCCATGTACACAAGGATATACTGCCTGATTGAAAGTGAGACTGGAGATGGTTTGCATGAATACAAATGGGAGGGGAGATGGTCTATGAGACACTGGCTATTAAGATGCAGTCTACAATGCAAAAACCTTTGAGAGCTCCTGTTGTATCCAATTTCCTGCTTAGTTTTAAGAACTCCCCAGCATTCCAGGAGAGTGAGTCTGCTGGAAAGCCTATCAGGGAAAAATAGTACGTTTCCTTCCACAGCTGACCAGCACTGTTGGTTGGTTCAGGAAGCAGCAACATGGCCTAGGGCCATGTACGAATGTTCATTTTCTACTGGGAGAATCACTGCTCTCCTAGTAGAAGCCACAAGTGCACAGATGTTCCAGCTTTTTCTTCTGGAGCAAAAATGGCTATTCTAGGAGAAAAATAACCCAGCTAAAACTAGGTAGAAACTTCCAGGAGTTTCTCTTGGGCGAATTAACATCTGTCCTATACACCTTCCTATGTCTTAACTCCTCCTAGGGACCAGGAGGAATGGAACCATGGGGAAGGCTCCCACACTTTCCAGAGACTGAGAACACCCCAGAATGGAGAAAGCAAGGGGACTAGCTGCTCCTGCCCTTCCTGTAGACTGGGAGAGGAGGGGAGGGGAGAAGCAAACACCAGCTCCATACCTGTTTCTTACTCCAGAGTCCCTGAATTGAGAGGCAGGAAAGGGGCTGTGCCTCACTGCTCCCTCCTCTCAGCTCCCAGAAACTGGGAGCCCAATGCAGGGAGCAAGCATAGCCCCCTACCAGCTTCTCACTCTGGAGTTCCAGAAGTGAGCAGCAGCGGGAGGCTTTGCCACACTGCTCCATCTGCTCAGCTCCTGGGTGCCACAAGCCCTCTGCCTGCTTCTGACACTGGAATCCCCAGTGGGGAGAAGGCTTTTCCCTGCTGCTCCAGTCCTCATGGGAATGGGAAGGCTAGGGCACTTCCACCTTCCCCAGATCAAGATCTCACCAATCTGGGGAAGGCACAAGGAGCAGGGGAGAGGAGGCAGTAGCAGACTGAAGGAACAGACAAAAAGGCTATGCCCTGCTGTAATCCCCCAGGCACAACAGATGTTCACTGTTGGATCACGGGGTTTGCTGGATGCAACTACAATTTGAAACAGCTGCAAGTCTGCAGCCACTCTCCTCTAGCCCTGCTCCTCCCCCATCTCCAGTGGTGACATGTAGGGGGTGCACGGGCACCTCCTGAGAGCGCTGGGGCACCTCCTGACAGCCATCATTCCCCGCTTAGGCAATGAGCGGGGGGGCAGGCAGGAGTGCTGGTGCCCCATCCGAGAGCAATGGCTGGGGAGTGAGGGTGCCAGAAGAAGCACCCTGGCACTTGCAGGTCGGCAAAATCAGCTGCGGGGGGACCCTCCCACACCTGTCGGTGCGATTGGCTCCCAATGTAGGTACACATGCAGATGCGTGCCTTAATGCACCTGCATTTTCTGCACAGAAAATTCAAGCACATTAATTGCATGTGTAGACACACCCACAGTATATTATACTATCTGTGCCAGTGAGGTTCCCTGAAAACCAAAGGTCTTCTTCTCAAGAAAGGGCAGAGGATTTCCCTGTCACAGCCCTATCTTGCGATTCCCTTTGGAGGAGGTAGAATACTTCTGGTTTAGTCAGTGTTCCATAGAAAGTCTACTGGCAACATGAATGTGCTGAATCAAGGATGCCAGAGTACCAGCATTTTCCAGCCACTGCCAGCGGCAAGCAGTTAACTCATTCTGACATACCTAAAGTTACAAGTCCTTTACACTACTGGAATCTTGTCCCTAGTAGACCTTCTGCTAGAGCATTCTGGTAGCATGAATGAGTGATGCCCATGGTTGTTAATAGAGCTGACTGAACTACTTATTATGAATAACTTATTCAATTAATTGTTCCCACTTTTCTCTTTGCAGATGATCTATAAACAGGTCATGATATTTGTGCATTAGTTCATTTTTCACAGATGCCTGTGTAAGGCTGAACTAATAGCTATGAGTAACTGCATTTGCCCCACAAGATGGATCCCCTAAATCACATGGTATTATTCTTCTCCTGATTGGATGTTTTATAAATAACAGGAGTCCTCCTGGCTGCTTACAACTCATTCACAAGCATTCACAAGTGTTGAACAAATTGACTGCACAAGTATTTAAAAACAGCTTTTCAAAATGGTCCCAGAACATTTCTGGTGTGAATACCAGCATAAATATTTCTCATTTGTATTCATGGTGCTCATGCTTTCCCCCAGCATTCTTGAACATAACAAACAATAGCTCTCCAGATTACCAGGAAAGGGAATCAATGGCATTTCACTGCAAGAATATTCATGTAATAGTTTTATGGCCATATTCATCCACTTCTAGTTTTCAAGTGTACTGTCTTCTAGTGTTTGGGCAATTATTAAAGAAAAACCCTTCTACCCTCAGCTTTTGACATTGTCTTTCTATTTGTGCTAAGGAATTCTCCCCAGGTTTTACTGCGGATATTATTAGTGTGTGCATGTTGGAGGGGGGAGGTGAAGAGTCTGTCGGGACTTGGCATGAGGCAAAATTATGTTTGTGTGGGTGGGGTGAGAATTAGGGGATTGACTTGTTTAAGGGAGGGCGAATGTTGCACAGGGTTTGTTCCCCCCGCAAAACTCCATTCTTTCTTCTTGTTAGGAGCATCTATTCAATGAAATACATGAGTAAAACAAATTACTGACTTTGAAAGCTGTTAGCAGAGATGGCCTGCCCTTTTCCCATGGAGAGTTCTGTACTTTAGTTTGTGAGATGGCAGAGATCAGGCCTCTAGCTGCTGTACAAATGTGAAAGCATTTTATGTAGTTATATGAAACGTCTGAGGTCAGAACATTTCTGAAATAACTTTACAGCGTTTTCACTGGAAACAGAGGCTCTTTTCTCAAAGTGTAATTATCTACTGCAGACTGCCATAAGTTTCCAAATATGGTTTATAGCCCATTTGGCATCAATGAGGCCTCGTAAATCACAAACACATGCAAAATTTGCATTGACAATTGGGCGATAAATACTGCTCTTTTTAAAACAGAGTGTTTTAATGTAGACTGAAAGGCATCCAGGCACCTGCCAACTAAGAACAAAGCTGAAGTGAGGGTCAAGTAAGTTTTACAGCTGCTGCCACTGCCTGTTAGCACAGAGACAAGTTACATTTCTACATTCAAGATAAATGGCAGGTGTTTCTTTCTTGGCATCTTTAATCAAGGAATTTCCATTCCTGCATTCCATCCTTGGTATTATAAATAGGTATAGAAGGAGTAGGAGGGCAGCAGAATAGGATAGTATAGTGGAGGCCAACCTGGTTGTAAGACATGCCTCAAATTAGTTCCTCAACCTCCCTGAATGCCACTCCAATCCCCTTCCTCTGCCCAATCTTGTTCTGCTTTTTGCTCCCTGCTCTGTGCTTCTTGCTGTTTTCTGCTTCCCGCCCTATCTAACGCTATGCTGCCTAGTCCCTCTCCAGTCTGCTGCATGCCACACACAGAAGCCACCTGTGCCACTTGTGGCATGCATGCTGCAGGTTGACCATCCCTGGGATAGTACAAAACAGAAGGCCATATCCTAAAGTTTGTACTCAGGCAACATGCCCATTGAGGGGAATGAAGGATATCTGGGTTAGGTCTGTAGGATTTTTCAAATGGACAGT